GTTTAAAGTACGTTCGTACAACTACACACATAGCACAAGGATCTGTAATATACAACATTAAATAGACTGATAAGGTAAACATGCCTTCATTGTATATACAGACCTGTGCCCTTCGTCATTTTCATTAAGGAAAGATGCCCAATTGACTTCTACCAATGGTAATAATTGTAATAACAGTTTCTCATTGTCGCTATTATGATTGTTGATAATAGATATTTTACAGTCTCCTATCCATAGTCATTGATAATCGGGTCCATATATAAGTATAATAGAATGGAAGTGAAGTGTTATTTAACACATTAAAATAGCGTACCTATATTTGGTTTGCATGTGAATTGTCCGTCCCATGTTGTAACTTGGAGTAAGGTAACGTATATAGTAAGGGTGTTTGGTGTGCTATATGTGGCTGGATAACAAAAATAGTATGACTTACTGAAGTGGTACTGTTTGGTGTTTACCTGTTGTTAGATAACAGAGATAGTATGACTTGCTGAAGTGGTACTGTTTGGTGTTTACGTGTTTTTAGATAACATATATAGTATGACTTACTGACGTGGTACTGTTTGGTGTTTACCTGTTGTTAGATAACATATATAGTATGACTTACTGAAGTGGTACTGTTTGGTGTTTACGTGTTTTTAGATAACATATATAGTATGACTTACTGACGTGATACTGTTTGGTGTTTATTCTTGTTGTTAGATAACAGAGATAGTATGATTTACTGAAGTGGTACTGTTTGGTGTTTACCTGTTGTTAGATAACAGAGATAGTATGACTTACTGAAGTGGTACTGTTTGGTGTTTACCTGTTGTTAGATAACATATATAGTATGACTTACTGAAGTGGTACTGTTTGGTGTTTACCTGTTGTTAGATAACATATATAGTATGACTTACTGAAGTGGTACTGTTTGGTGTTTACCTGTTGTTAGATAACATATATAGTATGACTTACTGAAGTGGTACTGTTTGGTGTTTACCTGTTGTTAGATAACATATATAGTATGACTTACTGAAGTGGTACTGTTTGGTGTTTACCTGTTGTTAGATAACATATATAGTATGACTTACTGAAGTGGTACTGTTTGGTGTTTACCTGTTGTTAGATAACATATATAGTATGACTTACTGAAGTGGTACTGTTTGGTGTTTACCTGTTGTTAGATAACATATATAGTATGACTTACTGAAGTGGTACTGTTTGGTGTTTACCTGTTGTTAGATAACATATATAGTATGACTTACTGAAGTGGTACTGTTTGGTGTTTACCTGTTGTTAGATAACATATATAGTATGACTTACTGAAGTGGTACTGTTTGGTGTTTACCTGTTGTTAGATAACATATATAGTATGACTTACTGAAGTGGTACTGTTTGGTGTTTACCTGTTGTTAGATAACATATATAGTATGACTTACTGAAGTGGTACTGTTTGGTGTTTACCTGTTGTTAGATAACATATATAGTATGACTTACTGAAGTGGTACTGTTTGGTGTTTACCTGTTGTTAGATAACATATATAGTATGACTTACTGAAGTGGTACTGTTTGGTGTTTACCTGTTGTTAGATAACATATATAGTATGACTTACTGAAGTGGTACTGTTTGGTGTTTACCTGTTGTTAGATAACATATATAGTATGACTTACTGAAGTGGTACTGTTTGGTGTTTACCTGTTGTTAGATAACATATATAGTATGACTTACTGAAGTGGTACTGTTTGGTGTTTACCTGTTGTTAGATAACATATATAGTATGACTTACTGAAGTGGTACTGTTTGGTGTTTACCTGTTGTTAGATAACATATATAGTATGACTTACTGAAGTGGTACTGTTTGGTGTTTACCTGTTGTTAGATAACATATATAGTATGACTTACTGAAGTGGTACTGTTTGGTGTTTACCTGTTGTTAGATAACATATATAGTATGACTTACTGAAGTGGTACTGTTTGGTGTTTACCTGTTGTTAGATAACATATATAGTATGACTTACTGAAGTGGTACTGTTTGGTGTTTACCTGTTGTTAGATAACATATATAGTATGACTTACTGAAGTGGTACTGTTTGGTGTTTACCTGTTGTTAGATAACATATATAGTATGACTTACTGAAGTGGTACTGTTTGGTGTTTACCTGTTGTTAGATAACATATATAGTATGACTTACTGAAGTGGTACTGTTTGGTGTTTACCTGTTGTTAGATAACATATATAGTATGACTTACTGAAGTGGTACTGTTTGGTGTTTACCTGTTGTTAGATAACATATATAGTATGACTTACTGAAGTGGTACTGTTTGGTGTTTACCTGTTGTTAGATAACATATATAGTATGACTTACTGAAGTGGTACTGTTTGGTGTTTACCTGTTGTTAGATAACATATATAGTATGACTTACTGAAGTGGTACTGTTTGGTGTTTACCTGTTGTTAGATAACATATATAGTATGACTTACTGAAGTGGTACTGTTTGGTGTTTACCTGTTGTTAGATAACATATATAGTATGACTTACTGAAGTGGTACTGTTTGGTGTTTACCTGTTGTTAGATAACATATATAGTATGACTTACTGAAGTGGTACTGTTTGGTGTTTACCTGTTGTTAGATAACATATATAGTATGACTTACTGAAGTGGTACTGTTTGGTGTTTACCTGTTGTTAGATAACATATATAGTATGACTTACTGAAGTGGTACTGTTTGGTGTTTACCTGTTGTTAGATAACATATATAGTATGACTTACTGAAGTGGTACTGTTTGGTGTTTACCTGTTGTTAGATAACATATATAGTATGACTTACTGAAGTGGTACTGTTTGGTGTTTACCTGTTGTTAGATAACATATATAGTATGACTTACTGAAGTGGTACTGTTTGGTGTTTACCTGTTGTTAGATAACATATATAGTATGACTTACTGAAGTGGTACTGTTTGGTGTTTACCTGTTGTTAGATAACATATATAGTATGACTTACTGAAGTGGTACTGTTTGGTGTTTACCTGTTGTTAGATAACATATATAGTATGACTTACTGAAGTGGTACTGTTTGGTGTTTACCTGTTGTTAGATAACATATATAGTATGACTTACTGAAGTGGTACTGTTTGGTGTTTACCTGTTGTTAGATAACATATATAGTATGACTTACTGAAGTGGTACTGTTTGGTGTTTACCTGTTGTTAGATAACATATATAGTATGACTTACTGAAGTGGTACTGTTTGGTGTTTACCTGTTGTTAGATAACATATATAGTATGACTTACTGAAGTGGTACTGTTTGGTGTTTACCTGTTGTTAGATAACATATATAGTATGACTTACTGAAGTGGTACTGTTTGGTGTTTACCTGTTGTTAGATAACATATATAGTATGACTTACTGAAGTGGTACTGTTTGGTGTTTACCTGTTGTTAGATAACATATATAGTATGACTTACTGAAGTGGTACTGTTTGGTGTTTACCTGTTGTTAGATAACATATATAGTATGACTTACTGAAGTGGTACTGTTTGGTGTTTACCTGTTGTTAGATAACATATATAGTATGACTTACTGAAGTGGTACTGTTTGGTGTTTACCTGTTGTTAGATAACATATATAGTATGACTTACTGAAGTGGTACTGTTTGGTGTTTACCTGTTGTTAGATAACATATATAGTATGACTTACTGAAGTGGTACTGTTTCCTGTTTACCTGTTGTTAGTATGACTTGTCTTTACACGAGTAAAATAACAGAGAAAGTGTAACTGCCTGGAGTGATCTAGAGTGAGATCACTGCTGTAATGCGTCTACCGTTTGTACCTTGATTAAGATAACAAAGAAAGTTTTAACGGTCTGGAGCAATACACGCTCACTGTGTTAACCTGGAAGGAACCTCGCACTTAGTAATTACATGTTTGTGCGGTAACACTTATCTATGTTTTTGTACTAGACTATTTACATAAAAGTTTTAAACAAATCCTCGCCGTTAGTGATAACTACACACATTTATCACAGCACCACGTCGGATAGTTAAATGTTTCAGCTCTGGTAGGTAGTAGCCTTGTCTAATACCTAATTTATATGTTGCTTTCTTGATACATGTATGCCCGTTGCCATACTAACTATAAGGCAAGGTCAGAGAAAATATGTGTTATGTTTTAAATATTAATAATTAGTATACTTAATGCTTGTGATATTGACACTCTTTTATATATATCTAGGTTATTTCAATACCAGCATTGTAAAATATTTAATGATAGATAATGAGTATACAAATTAATCTATGTCCGATATGCATTGTATAAATTGTAAATGGATTTATTAATGGTATCTACACGTGCTTCATATAGTTGTGCATTTTTTTAAATTTAAAACTGTTTTAAAATTCATGTATTCCCCTATATATGCATATTTGACTATAGATATCTATATATCATATATATATGCATCTTTATATGCCAGCTTCGTGTTATGATCAACATATATAAAAGACAGACAGACAGACAGACAGACAGACAGACAGACAGACCAGACAGACAGACAGATACTGATGATTGTTCATAGTAATATAAGAGGATCGCATTTATCACTCAAATCGAGCACTTTTATCTGATAGTATAAAATATAATTAATTTTATAAATTCTGTATTTAAGAGGATGAGGTAATATTAGTAATGCACTAGTCTTCTACCTGGCATTGCTGTAACATATGTGGAATACTTTGAGGGAAGATTAACATCACATACTCCTATACATACGGTTACACGTGATGTATGTTCAGGACACTGATGTTGATTCCATAACGAGCTACTTATTATTCAGCTACTACATCTAATGACAGCAATCGTTATATGTCCCTCTACTTACTGTCGATACTACCATGTACTTTCGAGGGTCACGACCCTTGTACAGACTTAATTGGTTGCCTCTGGCATTACTCTTATTGTTAATTTTAATTCAAACCATATAGTCGTTCACAGTAAAACGGCAGGTTACTTTTGCAGTAACTATACCAAGGTACTGCAGTCCCCCATTAACTATTTTAAGTGACCAAGCGATGTCCCTGAGCAGGCAGAACCAGCACGCCATATCCACTAACCAAACAGTGAGTGTGTGGTACTTGTATACTTTCACGGTTTCAATACTACAGATTAAGCACAATACCTGCCAATGAAAACAAAGTGGGAGATTTTTTGGAGCGCAGGCAGTGGTCATTACGGCAATTTAAGCATTTCAGTTGGCCTTTCATACGGATGGTATCTGGTCCTAAAAGGGATTAATATAGAGTATTTTGAACGAGGACTGATAAAATTACACACTATAAACGTATATTAGAAACAGTTGATTTATTAATTCACATTATGTCGTTATGTTTGATATATCAATTATTTTGCAATTATTATGTCAGATCAGTGGAGCGTTAGACCATATACAACAGTGGGAGTCTTTACCACCGTTCCCGTGATCCCTTCAACGCCAAGCCTACGGAGGTAACCAACGTGAAAGGGAAATGGAGGAGGAGGAATATCACCTACAGAATGGGAACAACAACCAGTGTAACGATGACCCCGACTACCCCCGGGCTGGTCACTGTCGGATGGACAGGAGACGGACCTCATACGCGTACCGAGCCGTGCTGGTCAGTATACCTCTACGTATGACTTCTCCAGTACAGTATCTAACAACTATCGATACCACCTCTCTAAACCAAGCTCAAGTTTGTTATGTTTTATCCCAAGAAACAAATATCAGCTCAATAGCAATATCACTTTCCTTCGTCAGGTTTACTTGTAATATTAATTCAAGAATTTACAGCATCTATATCGATATCATTTCTCTGCATTCAGCACACCTTTGTATTGGTTTTTTTCCCAAATAAAAATATCAGCATCTGTATCGAGATCATTTTTCTGCATCAAGCTCACTCTCATCATAATTGAGATATACATTTAAAAAACATAACAGTGCCCCCATCAAAATCCCTTTCCACCCAAAGCTAGCGTCTGTCATTTCCCCCAAAGATGCATATGTACATACCCGATATTGATCTACATTAATTTGATTAAGAGTCAGTCTTTGTTGTTGTATGTATTGTCTGATATAAGAATAGACAGTTAGGTCACGACACCTTTTCACTCCGTAACATTCTTGGTATAAAAATATTTTAACGGAGAATTTTACACTTGAATTAAACACACTCATTCACCCCACCACTACTGAATCACTGAACGGAGCCCTCGTGTCTTAATGTTTGTGGTGTCGCTCCTGTTCACTGTTAAGTGTGTGGTTATACCATGTCATGGCTTTAGTCTCTTTGTGGGTACGTGTGCTGTTATACATACCAAACCTTCACCCGGTTGTAAATCGAGTTGATGATGTAAACCTATTTCACTTTATGTCTTATGAATGTAAACTCTGTAAAGATATTGAATCTCGAAAAATACTTGATAGAGAATATTTGGATAGAAATTATGAGCGATACGGGATGGAGGATTTGCTAAACTAAATTTCCCTCCAACAAATTAGGGATAAATAATTTTGATATGATGTCTGTAAGCAGATAATAATAATAAGTATGCATATGACGAAAATAATAAATATGTAATAACATGATGTTTGCCTCAAAGTATTCGCGCATTTGAACAAGTGCGTGGAAAGAAATCATTTTTTACGACTTAGATTTAATTTGGTAAAAAATGCAAATAAGCCTGCCTTATCAAACTTATCGTGGCAATTTTTGGCATTTTCCTCTTTATATGTCCAATTCAGTGGCCATCACGTGTAATATACATTAACTTCAGTAAATGCCAGCGTGACTTGTTTCCTGAAAGTTACGTCATGGTGCGTGACTGATCGATATATTTTAATATAGAAATGACTGCAATTAAATACATGTATGATGCATGAATATTTTATATGAGTTGACAACAATGAAATGATGTCATAAAATGTATTTTGAACTAAGATCATCAATGTAATATCACCCATAAAATACATTTTTCATATGGTTTTTAAAAACGTCGAAATATCTCGAACGAAAACATGAAAAGAAGCACAAGAACTGGTATTTCATTAAACTTAATAATACATTGTAATATAAATAACTGGAATACTATCTAGTATAAGTTATTAGTACATATCTAATAAATATCAATAACTGTCACAAAATGAGGAAAATTATTACAATAATAAAAAAAAAAAATCTTCAAATGATAATTAATAGGTACATGTATTTCTATGATGTCTGGGTGATATTACAAATATATTACCATGACATCAATGTGCGGATAATGATAATAAAGTGAATGATCATGATTTTGTTTTCAGATGAAAAGTTTTTGCATGATATGTGCCTTCATTATATTTGTACCTTGATGCTATACTTAGTAAACTAAGCATGAACATAATTTCTGTGTAATGCATGATAGGTAATAAATATATATTCTTTATGTAATCATATTTTGTGAATTATACATGTTTGTTCTTAAAAAAATCTGTCATATTAATGTGCCAAATGATAGTTTTCCAATATTTAAACACTATACTTACAGGATGTAAACAGTTGTCACCACGCTACTAAATCCTAGGACAAATCTGATAACTTACCTTCACTATCATTAACGTTTATGTCAACAGTAGTAAAAAACAAGCTTTCACTAATGATAAATACATATCCATATCACAGCTTAATTCACATACCGGAGCTTGTTCAGTATTTTCTATGTTGATCCGTTATGTACACAAATAAATTCCCGATAATAAGCTGGGTTTTTTCTGCTGGACATATTAACACAATCAATATTAATGTTCATCTTCAAAGAGTATTTTAACCAGGGTTTGATAAACTTGCTCCATTGTTTAGTCCCTCCCACGGATTTAAATCAATTTTGATATTAAATTCGAATTGGGGACTTAATTTTGATGAAATGGTGTTAAATTTGTCACCTTAAGTGCCGGTAGGAGTGTTGGATTTATATCGGAGCTGATTGTAACCCACCTTACAAATACACGGGGATGTTTGAGATAACGTGGTAAGATGTTAAGTAATTACAGGTGAATCAAACTATAGGTAACACAGTAAAAAAAACATTTCGGTCATGACTGAGCTTTTTATATCATAGTGACTGATATCATCAGACGTGTCTTTTCTGTGATAATCTTTCACATTTTCTTGTTGTATCTCTCTGTCACCATTTGTAATTGCTCAGGGTCACATACCAACAGGGACTAGCATGTGTATTATCTTTTCTTGACAAGGAAGATAAAAGACAAGCATGCATTGTATCTACCTGTATAAAAGTACACTATAGCTTTAAACGAACGTAATTATATCGATAGTGGAGCAATTTCTCAGGTTACTTTATATATATATGAAGTGTCGATTAATTATTTTTGTACTGGCTGATCTCCCAGATTTTGACAATCCTGCTGGAATGGTTAATGTGGGGTTTGTATATATGGGCCGTGCATGCTCGACTAATGTAGTTTTATACCTATTTAGCATGTAAATTTTAATTCTGACAAGTAGGTTTATTAGGTAACAAAGACACACTGACGCCAATATTATTTAACTCAAAGGCACTGTAGGCAAACAAATTGTTGTCAAACACAGTGGTTGATCAAAAGACCCTCAAGATGCAAAGACGAGGGCAAGGCTTCATAAGAAAATATGGTGAAAAGGTGATTTCGGGATTTAAAAAGAAATTTGATAGGCTTGCCCGAAGCTAACTAAAACCCACTCTTCCTGTCACCGAAATATTCGAAACGGAACTTCTATTATGAGTTGTAAGAACAATGGAAATAACGAACAAAAATAGAAAACTTATTTAATGTGAAGGAGGATAGATTATTTGATATAAACCCCTAGGTTAGCCGAAGATGATTGACAATGCTGGTTGACTCTCTTTCCTCTAGGTTAGCCGTAACCTTGTTTCTTGATATTTTTCTGACAGGGTTTACATTATTTTAAAAAAATCGGGAAGTTGTTTATGTTACTCCAGTAAGTGTGTTATTGACACTTCTCTTTTGTCGCTAAACTTTACAATTTTTTAGATCACTTGATACATATTTCATTCCTTTGACCTTTAGTGTAACTATTGAGTCCTAAGTAGACGAACGAACTGGCCATGAAAGGTGAATTGTTTACAGTGTTCGGCTATCAGCTTTGACAGACTATAGATTAAATAGATGTATTCTTACACGTACTTCTTATTCTAGTAGTTGATTTTTTCCTGTTGTGGTATTTCAGACGGAGACAAATCATTCATACTTACTTAAAAATCACAAATAAAATATAATTTTAAAATTTTAAGAAACAAATATAAGATAAAAGATTTAATTTCAAATTGTAGATTTTGCTATAACTTTGTTATGCTTACCATTCCGAAACACCTGGTCTTAATTTCCTTATTTTCCTCTTTCAAAAGTCTCCATTTCTAGCTTTCGTTCGTTCGTCTTTTGCCATAGTTTTATTGATTTTGAGCCGAATGATGGTGTTGTGAGTACTTAGTTTTTGTTTCCATTGTAATAATTCTGTTTCAGCAGTAAGGCGCCGTAGCGAGAGACACTTTCATTGACGTTGTCAGTGTATATCTATATAATGGTTTATTTTGATTCCCATCGAAGAGATTTGTTTGATTTCCTCCTTAGTAGTTGTCTCTGTATCTCTATACCTTGGTTTTATTTTGACTCTCACCTGAAAGATGTTTTTGATTGCTCCTTAACTTCCGTAATCTGTATGTTTAGTACCTATTTTATTTCATCATCCCCTGAGTGTCTTAGTTTACATATGAATACCTGGATGATCGCTCCCTACGGTTTTAAAATATATCGACATTTAATTCAATTTAATTTTCCCTAAATTTCTCTAGGTCTTTTCTTGTCATTTAACATGTCGCTCTACATCTATTTCTCTATTTATGGTTTTGAACTATTCGCCGGTTCTTTCATCCATTAAATAATTTTCTTCAGATTACTTGCTCACTAACTTTATAGAAGTATGTATCTGTTGTGCTATATGTGGTAATTTGTGTTTGTGTGGTTTATGTATTCCTATTGACTTCAAGACATTGTTTGATAGGAGTTTTTGTCATGTTGATGAATTTCTAAAACCAGATCCCCAAAGGGAAATACACATAAAATATAACAATGCATACTGAGCATATATAATTAAGAAGCACAAGGTGCATATGCCGGTTTGTACCATTTACACAAGCTATCAGCCTATGACACCAGAATTATATAACGAATGATACACGGTACAAGAAACACCTTGACACGACCACAAAATGAGCTCCTGGATTGTATCGCGAGGTTTGTCACAGAAATTGTTGGTATGTAATATTTTGTTGAAACGTAAATTTCAAGTTGCTAAACTGATTGCTGGTTCAGTCTTAGATATTATATTGTACTTCGTGAAGCATGCGTTCCGTTTGGTTATCACATTACTAACACATTTATCAACAGGCAATTGGGTAGTTACACCAGAAATAGATATGTTTCTTAATATACAGTCATTCGTCTGAGCCTGAACTAAATATATTTATCACTATGCGTTGTATAATTTGTATACGTTTCTTTTAATCAGCTATAGTCATGTGCATAAATGTATTAATTTCAATACAATAGTGTTTGATATGTTACGGTTGTTATACCAATACAACTATTTCACCGTTGCAATCAATGGTAGCATAATGTTTTAAATCTTTATCATGTCGTAGCCCGTTATAGTAAATCACTCCAATTTAACGAAATATATATGGGATTATTAAAAATTTCTTAATCAACACTCGACATAATCGACACTCGAATATTAACCTGAAATTATGCGGTGAAAGTGTCGTTTACTATGTATATGGTTTCTGAGCGAGGTTTTATGCTTTGCACTCAATCTGTACCGGTTTTTACTTTGGTATCTGATCAAGTGACTAAAACATGTTTCTCCAGGCTGTAGAGAATGTGACCCGCCAGATGTCTGTACCAGCTTTTACTGTGGTATCAGATCAAGTGTCTTTAACATGTTTTATCCAGGCTGTAGAGAATGTTGCCCGCCGGATGTCTGTACCAGCTTTTACTGTGGTATCTGATCAGTCTATAACATGTTTTATCCAAGCTGTAGAGGATGTGGTCCGCCATATATCTGTACCAGCTTTTACCCTGGTATCTGATCTAGTGTCTATAACATGTTTTATCCAAGCTGTAGAGGATGTGGTCCGCCATATGTCTGTACCAGCTTTTACTGTGGTATATGATCAAGTGCCATAACTTGTTTTATCCAGGCTGTAGAGAATGTGGCCGTCTGATGTCTGTACCAGCTTTTACTGTGGTATATGATCAAGTGCCATAACATGTTTATCCTGGCTGTAGAGAATGAGGCCCGTCGGATGTCTGTACCAACTTTTACTGTGGTATCTGATCAAGTGTCTATAGCATGTTTTATCCAGGCTGTAGAGAATGTGGCCCGCCATATATATGTACCAGCTTTTACTGTGGTATATGATCAAGTGCCATAACATGTGTTATCCAGGCTGTAGAGAATGTGACCCGTCGGATGTCTGTACCAGCTTTTACTGGGGTATCTGATCAGTCTATAACATGTTTTAGCCAAGCTGTAGAGGATGTGGTCCGCCATATATCTGTACCAGCTTTTACTGTGGTATATGATCAAGTGCCATAACATGTTTTGTCCAGGCTGTAGAGAATGTGGTCCGCCGGATACCTGTACCAACTTTTACTGTGGTATCTGATCAAGTGTCTATAACATTTTCTATCCAGGCTGTAGAGAATGTGGCCCTCGGATGTCTGTACCAGCTTTTACTGTGACAGTGGTATCTGATCAAGTGTCTATAGCATGTTTTATCTAGACTGTAGAGAATGTGGCCCGCCGGATGTCTGTACCAGCTTTCACTGTGATATCTGATCAAGTGTCTATAGCATGTTTTATCCAGGCTGTAGAGAATGTGGCCCGCCATATATCTGTACCAGCTTTTACTGTGACAGTGGTATCTGATCAAGTGTCTTTAACATGCTTTATACAGGCTGTAGAGAATGTGGCCCGCCGGATGTCTGTACCATCTTTTACTGTGGACACGATTGCACAAAACTTGGAGGAAGAAATTGAGAGGGACTCCGAAGACCCAAAAGGAAATTTGGAAAAGTACTTATTCATTCACAAGATTAAACATGGTGTTTTTTATCTTACAACCTATGTAGAAATAAAGAATTATGTCACTACATAATCAATAATATTTCACTGTAAAAACAGGAATTGATCACTATAGAAACATGGGAGATTGTCACAATGTAAACAGAGGAGTTTATCATTATAAACAAAGAGTGCAATGTAGTACGTCTCTATGAAAACACACACAAAAACCAGAAGAATGTTTCATCATCGAAACACACTACACTTTTAAAACAGAGATGTATTTTTGAGCATCTCAAATCTTCCACAAAAAAGAAGCAGGTCTCACGTTTTGTTAAATGCTTTCTATGATAAGAAAAGCACATATAACGCCATCTTCATGTATATGATCTCTTTGTGGATATGGTATATATATACTTTCTATAAGTTGGCTATTTTCCTTCTTGGGATATGTTTAACATTTTTATCTTGATCATTTGTTCATTTCATAATGTTCCGTGGCTTTACATTTTAACAGAATACGGAGGTCTGGAGAACAAATCCTTCACAACAAGAAGGTCTTACTAATGATTGTCGTACTGAACATCCTAGACTGTGCCTTAGTGTTGGGGGAGCTCATCCTCGACATACATTTTATCAAAGGTATGTAAACTGTGCTCAGTGAGCTCATCTTCGACATACATTTCATCAAAGGTATGTAAACTGTGCTCAGAGAGCTCATCCTCGACATACATTTTATCAAAGGTATGTAAAATGTGCCCAGAGAGCTCATCCTCGACATACATTGTATCAAAGGTATATAAACTGTGTTCAGAGAGCTCATCCTCGACATTCATTTTATCAAAGGTATATAAACTGTGCTCAGAGAGCTCATCCTCGACATTCATTTTATCAAAGGTATATAAACTGTGCTCAGAGAGCTCATCCTCGACATTCATTTTATCAAAGGTATATAAACTGTGCTCAGAGAGCTCATCCTCGACATTCATTTTATCAAAGGTATATAAACTGTGCTCAGAGAGCTCATCCTCGACATTCATTTTATCAAAGGTATATAAACTGTGCTCAGAGAGCTCATCCTCGACATTCATTTTATCAAAGGTATATAAACTGTGCTCAGAGAGCTCATCCTCGACATTCATTTTATCAAAGGTATATAAACTGTGCTCAGAGAGCTCATCCTCGACATACATTTTATCAAAGGTATATAAACTGTGTTCAGAGAGCTCATCCTCGACATACATTTTATCAAAGGTATATAAACTGTGTTCAGAGAGCTCGTCAACGACTACATTGTATCAAAGGTATATAAATATAAACTGTGCTCAGAGAGCTCATCCTCAACATACATTTTACCAAAGGTATATAAACTGGGTTCAGAGAGCTCATCATCGACTACATTGTATCAAATGTATATAAACTGTGTTCAGAGAGGTCATCCTCGACATACACTTGATCAAAGGAATGTAAACTGTGCTCAGTGCGCTCATCCCAGACATACATTTACTCAAAGGTATGTAAACTGTGCTCAGTGCGCTCATCCCAGACATACATTTACTCAAAGGTATGTAAACTGTGCTCAGCGAGCTCATCCTCAACATACATTTTATCAGAGGTATATAAACTGTGCTCAGAGAGTTCATCCTCGACATACATTTTATCAAAGGTATATAAACTGTGTTCAGAGAGCTCATCATCGACTAACTTGTATCAAAGGTATCTAAACTGTGCTCAGAGAGCTCATCCTCGACATACATTTTATCAAAGGAATGTAAACTGTGCTCAGTGAGCTCATCCCAGACATACATTTACTCAAAGGTATGTAAACTGTTCTCAGTGAGCTCATCCCAGACATACATTTTATCAAAGGTATGTAAACTGTTCTCAGTGAGCTCATCCTCGACATACATTTTATCAAAGGAATGTAAACTGTGCTCAGTGAGCTCATCCCAGACATACATTTACTCAAAGGTATGTAAACTGTTCTCAGTGAGCTCATCTCAGACATACATTTTATCAAAGGGATGTAAGGTGTGTTGGGAGGGCCCGTACTCGACATTATATTTTGAGACTGTAGGAGTTCACTATCATACAACGCTGTGTATGGTTGAGACTATACCATGTAAACGCCATTAATGGGAAAACTGTGATGTTATGATGAACTTTTAAATATCACCTGTTCACGTTGAAGAAATGTCTGCTGTCGCTTTGCTTTCACAGAGATGGTACATGAAGCTCGAGGCCTGATATTGAAGTTTACTAGAATATTACTGGAAAAATTCCCCGCCGTATTTACTGAACTTGAGATAGAGGCAGTGTCGGATGTGTTTAACAGACTGATCGGTGCTATGTCTACATACAACCAGACAGCTGATGTGTATCTTAATCTCAGTTCCAATATAAACGGCACATACTCTTACCGGAGCAGACGATCGGCAGAAATGGCGGGAATGCATGACAGTTACTTTACACAAGCTGACATACCCGCTTTCATGGAAGCCGATCACAAGCCAACACTGGTGGAGGACCTCGCGCATGCGTTTCATAAAGCCAGTATAATAATACTAGGAATACTTGTTTTAATGGTAAGCGAGTCACGTTTTACTCAGAATACTTATTGTATTGGTAAGCAGGTATAACACTACCCGGAATACATGTCTTATTGGTAAGTAGGTTTAATAATACAGAAAAATGTTCAGTTGCTTTTTTTTTATTTATATGAACATTGATTTATTTGCATTAACTAGCATCTTATCAACCTTAAGAGATATGTTTGACACATATTCGTTTGTTTCTCAATGTTTAAGTCAAGTCAATGAAAACAAAAATGTGTTGCTTCCACAAATTGTGGATATTTACGTTTCATATATTTTAAACCATTATGATTTCATAATTCAAACTTATCTTTAATAATCAGTTGATATTTGTAGACATTGCTGAAGGTTTTCTGCTATGGTGTCACTCTTTTCAAGAAGAAGTTCGAGGTACGTAACTAAACTATAACAATCTCCGATACCGTATGGTTACTTCACACAAAGGCTTTAATTGTCCTCCAGTCATGTGTTGATAGTACACCCAGCTTAAGTGAATACAGAATCTATTAACAAATCACTTCACGGGCATGTTATAACAGACCTATTCACCTGAAGTCTTCTATCTATGAGAGAGACATTTTTAAAATGCAAAACTCCCGAAAAATGCTGTTTCATCATTACCAGTTAACGTATATAAATCATCATGAAAAGTTATATTACTTTCTCCTGAAATGACAGGTTGTTTTCATTTTCAATGGATATAATTTTTTCTTTGGATTTGTCTCTGGATTTAGTTTTGCGTGATTAACTTTTAGACCTATATTCCTTTATTCCATTGGTGCGTACTATGTTTAAATGAAAAGTATTTTTAAGACATTTTGCTGTTCATTGAGATATATTGATTCAAACTAGGAAATCTTCATCATGCTTGATATGATAAAGTTCATAGAAAAATAAATCTCAGCTAATTATATAACAATCAATCAATTAAACAGCTTATACTCATAACTTCCTACAATCTGAACGATTACTAGTAAATGATGAAAGAGCTATCTGCTACTCAGTGTGTTTTAAGGGTTTATTTGACGAAATAATAAGTATGGGCCCTTGTGTTAAACTAGAGCTGAGCCATTGCACGTGTGTTAATAGCTTGGGCGTTGGTCTGTGGTCGTCTATGAAGAGAGCTAAATTCGATTTGTTGTTTTGAAAGCATGGTCACGATAGACTCCGCAGCATATTCTGAAAAGTATATTTATTTAATTTTAAAATCACGCGCTGATATCGATCATTTTTTCCAGGAATTAACCAACCCGATTTGATATCACTCATATTATCTTAATACTCATTAGATACCCTCTGTATATACATGTATGCCTAATATGATATTTATTTTAGGATTTGTCCCTCTACAGATCATCACTTCGCGCATAGTATCTTACGGAGTTTTAATTTTATATGATGTAATATTGACTTTATATGACGCGCCTAATTTTACTGGCGTCCTGATGGTCATTGTAATGTTTGGTGGGTAATCGGTTGTTAGTGCTTTGACAGATTTACTGACGTTTTTTAGTTCTCTATTCCTCTGACCTTTGATACCTCTGATGCGTCCTAAATGGACAAAATGGACATATATTACTGTACAATCTTCTATAAAGTTTTTCTTTCACTTCGTCGCCGAACATAATATTACCAACTGGCGATCTTATGTTCCAAGTCACCTAGTCTTATCATTATGTGTAGTTCCTACTGAAATGATAATAATGATCCGTGTAGCACTGATATATATTTGACCACCGGACGAACAGTAATGTTTGAAATCGGACTGACCCTTGCCTTTCGATTTCTATTTTGGAGTCTTTCTAGTCACTATTAATTCATTTAAATGTATTTATCATTGAAAACAGAAGGTAGGTTTTTCCCACCACAGTAACAAAAGTAAAACTTGAAGTCATAATGAACAACATTGTATAGTACTACAGGTGTGTTCAGATAAACGGAATCGTGCACGTGGTCAGGGGATAACTGTGTATTGTGAGTAGTCACACCTTTCCATTCTTGTCTTTATTTAACAAACCTAGCTTCCATTTTCTTAATGTGCTGAACATCTTTCTTATTTATAATATCAGTTTGCCTTATCTATGAAAAGTGTTTCTGCAGTTTATCGTGGATTTATAGCACGAAGTCCTCTTTTGCATGCGAAGTACTTCGGATAACAATTACAATACTGTTGTGTTTAGTGACGCATTATCGTTTCTAAAACTTAAATTGCAATTTAATGCATTTATTGCAATACGTCCTAATTAAGAATTCTTCATCCTTAATAACAATTTTCGTATAACAGGGGTCTGTATTTTCAACTTGATCTTGTAGGTCATGCTCAGCATTATCTTGGGAAAATATTCCTTCTGATCTGTAAAACTAGTAAACTTTTCCAAACTGTTGCACGTATGCACAAAGCCGATGTCATATTTTTGAAATACAAGTTGAAGACAAAAGCTGCCGTGCAATGTTCAAAACCTCTTTGAAGGTCAATATCTTTAATATGAGAATTTAAATCACGTTGAAAGTCACTTAAGTTTTCAAGGTAATCATGCTGATGAAAAATATATCGTTTTGTAGTTACATATAGTCTTATACATTTGTTTTCCAATACTCCGTTCTACACAAGAGTTAGATATTATTTTTCCCCTAAAAAAAAGTGTGAAAAGAGAAGATTTTAAGGTTGGATATTTTCATTTCTGTCATAAAATAGATATTTATTATTGCGGGGTGAGGGGAAGGTGTTACTCTAATACTCTTTGTGTGATTTTTTGGCAGTTTTCTCCTGAAGTGACTGGATAAAATGAACCTTTGAATTTCGAGACATATGGCTTTGCTTTAAATTTGTGTGGTCTAGTAACTTGTTGTTAGAGTCTCATTTGTTTCTGGTGTTGATGTTTGTTATTGTTTATGATTTCAAATTTCATTTTTTGCGTTTTGATCCCGTGATGTTTTTATTATATTAATTAACTGACGACACAATAACTATCGCTGTTTGAAGTAAAACATGTTTTGTTGACAATGATGAGATATGTATCAATCATCAAATAACTTGTATGTATATACTTGTAACTACAGTATGTTGAGAAAAAAAAATGCTTCTGGCGTCCCTCATCTCTCATTCCGAGTCAACACAGTATTGCAAGCATGTTCAATTTGGCTTGAGAACAAACTGTTCAAATGTTAATGTGAGTTTCTCTGTCTTACTCAGCTTTTTGATGGGTTCATTGTCGTCACGTCCTTTGTCATTGACATTGCCTTCATCAAAGGCATCATGGGATATCCGCTAGAGGACGCTGTTGCGACCTTGGCCTTCCTCATCCCATGGCGCGTGATCAGGGTCGCCAACAGTGAGTACAACCACCATGTCTTCTGATTCAGTTATGATTGATGGGTCTGGCTACGAAGTTTGACCAAGATTAATTATATTGAGTAGGTTCAAGCTAATTGAATATATGCGTATTTTAGTGATATATAGTATATGTCTGCAGCTGACGTATTGGATATGACGTAGATTGGGTGCATGTGTCTTAGACATGAACTCAATATTAGTCACAACAGAATTCATATTTTACTGACAACAATCGAGGCAGTCAGGTAGTTATAGAGTGCATCTGTTCTGAGTGACGTGTACTTTTTCTGTTCAACTGCGTTTCTATATTTGTTCTAGCATTTTAATAAAACGCTTTCAAACTAAATACTAACTCTGGTATCGTCAATTGATCGAAAGTCTGAGAAGACTTTTAAACTGCTGAAATCAAAAAAACTTGAGAGCAGTTCATATACATTGCTGCATTAATGTATGGGAATTTCGTTGTCTATAGCTAATCTATCAAATCAATCCCGTATCAAATTAAAGAAGTAAAATGCATTAAAATTAATTGAATGCTGCATATAATCTTAGGTTTGGTGATGGCGGTGATGGACGAGGCACATCTCCAGCTGAAAATGATATACACAGAGAAAAAGATAGCAGAGGACAAGCACGAGGAATCCGAGTCAAACCTCAAGTATCAAAAAGTAAGATGATTGGAAACTCTCGGACCTAGAACGTGGAAAACAAAAAGTGTTTAGGACGCGACAAAAACCACCAACTATAAACTGAAGGACGGGTCACGATACCAGATACCTGTATTATTTATATTTACAGCATAAAACATGTTGTCTCTATAAGCTTTGTCGCCAAATTATGCCACACTTTATCCAATATTGAAGACGTAAAGTATTTGAGGTAATGCTATTCTAATTCAATCCCATTCAAACGATTTTCATACTTTTGAAACAAATCTAACAACCAACATCAAAACCAATATCAGCCATTAAATATAATATGCAATAAAGTTGATTGGACGCTTTTCACCGTAATGTATATTTTTATGTTTTATTGGACGCTATTCACCCTAAGGGTATATTTTTATGTTTGATTGGACGCTATTCCCCGGAAGGGTATACTTTTATGTTTGATTGGACGCTTTTCACCGTAAGGGTGTATTTTTATGTTTGATTGGACGCTATGCGCCGTGAGGGTGTATTTTTATGTTTGATTGGACGCTATTCGCCGTGAGGGTGTATTTTTATGTTTGATTGGACGCTATGCGCCGTGAGGGTGTATTTTTATGTTTGATTGGACGCTATTCGCCGTGAGGGTGTATTTTTATGTTTGATTGGACGCTATGCGCCGTGAGGGTGTATTTTTATGTTTGATTGGACGCTATTCGCCGTGAGGGTGTATTTTTATGTTTGATTGGACGCTATGCGCCGTGAGGGTGTATTTTTATGTTTGATTGGACGCTATGCGCCGTGAGGGTGTATTTTTATGTTTGATTGGACGCTATTCTCCGTAAGGGTATACTTTTATGTTTGATTTGACTCTATTCACCGTAAGGGTATACTTTTATGTTTGATTGGACGCTATTCACCGTAAGGATGTATTTTTATGTTTGATTGGACGCTTTTCACCGTAAGGTTATATTTTTATGTTTGATTGGACGCTATTCTCCCTAAGGGTATATTTTTATGTTTCATTGGACGCTATTCACCCTAAGGGGAGATTTTTATGTTTCATTGGACGCTATTCACCGTAAGTGTATATTTTTATGTTTCATTGGACGCTATTCTCCCTAAGGGTATATTTTTATGTTTCATTGGACGCTATTCTCCCTAAGGGTATATTTTTATGTTTCATTGGACGCTTTTCACCGTAAGGGTATATTTTTATGTTTCATCGGACGCTATTCACCGTAAGGGTGTATTTTTATGTGTGATTGGACGCTATTCACCGTAAGGGTATATTTTTATGTTTGATTGGGCGCTATTCTCCGTAAGGGTATACTTTTATGTTTGATTTGACTCTATTCACCGTAAGGGTATACTTTTATGTTTGATTGGACGCTATTGACCCAAAGGGTATATTTTTATGTTTCATTGGACGCTTTTCACCGTAAGGGTATATTTATATGTTTGATTGGACGCTATTCTCCGTAAGGGTATATTTTTATGTTTGATTGGACGCTATTCCCCGGAAGGGTATACTTTTATGTTTGATTGGACGCTATTGACCCAAAGGGTATATTTTTATGTTTCATTGGACGCTATTCTCCCTAAGGGTATATTTTTATGTTTCATTGGACGCTTTTCACCGTAAGGGTATATTTTTATGTTTGATTGGACGCTATTCACCGTAAGGGTATACTTTTATGTTTGATTGGACGCTATTCACCCAAAGGGTATATTTTTATGTTTCATTGGACGCTATTCACCGTAAGGGTATATTTTTATGTTTCATTGGACGCTATTCACCGTAAGGGTATATTTTTATGTTTCATTGGACGCTATTCACCCTAAGGGTATATTTTTATGTTTCATTGGACGCTATTCACCGTAAGGGTATATTTTTATGTTTCATTGGACGCTATTCACCCTAAGGGTATATTTTTATGTTTATTATGAAGTATAGGTCGGACCAAACTTTATGTTTTCTGCTAATGAATTATAGATTTGTAACCGAAAAAAAATCCGAAATAATAATAAGAAGAAATATACCTTAAATGTTTAATGAATGTGTAAACATTTGTTATCTTTGCTCTATCGACACTCATTTCAGAATGTCAACAAGATACTGAGGGACCTGTGTTTAAGCGAAGGGATCCCCATGTCGAGAATCAATGAGAAGACAGCGGGATGTGGTAAGATGTAGACAACTGTTTTAATGTAACAGACACCTTATTGTCAGCCGACACATTGTTGTCAGTAGATTATTGTCAGTAGACACCTTGTTGTCAGTAGACACATTGTTGTCAGTAGATTATTGTCAGTAGACACCTTGTTGTCAGTAGACACATTGTTCTCTCACTCTTTTAAGATGTTTTTCCGTCTTCATAGCACGTTGTCCTACTATTCATTCATTAATACTGTACAACATATGTATGTTGTTACAATCTCCTCTAATATTACAAGTTATAAACTTTGCAAACTTTGAAATATTTTATTTCACCAAGATGATTTCATATAAGGATTTTACTACGAGAGTTGCATCAAAAGGACTTCTTAGAAGGGTTTTCCCTGATGGTTTGTATATGAAAATTTTGCGAAGAAAATTTCCTCATGACAGTTTGTTATGATGAATTTTTACTATTTTTTATCAATTCTTTCTTAACTCTTTGCGGGATCGTTTCTACTTATTCATCGCAAACAATTGAATGTAGAATCACATGTATGCAACGTAGAGTCTTATACAAATTTTATATTAAAGGAATACAACTAAAACTTATCAAGGATATCCGATCCTAATATTTGTATACTTTGCATGAGCGGTCTGCATTTTGATCCCATTAGTTCGTTCTGCACTTGAAATTTTGTTTCATGAATTGTACTTAAAACTATTTAACATCGTTAATTGTTATACAGAGATTTTCTTCTATTTTGTGTATAAAGATTATTTATTTTCTTCCGGTAGCATGTACGGAATGTGGTTACGGTGATGTTGTAAACTGATCTTGATAGGGATATTTCACATAGGCTGTTTACTGTTCGACACCTTACACAGAGGAATGTGACTTATTAGTCTCCTACACTGAGCTAATGACATATGGAAAACTTGAACTGCACTGAGTAATTTTGTATTAATAAACCAAGAATTGGGTGAGGGATGTGTTTGAAAATATACTTTAAGTTCATTTTCTCAGTATAAAATTAGCACCGGGGAAAAATATACCACATCTTTATAGGGTTTGTTTCGTTCGTAGGATTAGAAATGAATGAAAAACTGGAATGATCAAAAGCATGTATCCATACTAACACCGTCTACTAACATGACGCCATTGCATGGTTTTAATGACGTCATTGCATGGTCACGTGACTTTTATAGACACTCGGTTATGTGATGAATATCATTCTGCCTGCAGGTTCTGTGGCGGCCCTGATATCTCGACTTCCATTTCCAAATCCAAGTCAACAGCTTCCGAAGAAGTAACCCCACGTGACTTCTGGTAGAGGCATCTGGTCAATGCTATAAAAGTTCAACTTGACAATTTACCTTCTGATAGTATTTTCCTCGTGGTTGAAAAGACGTATTCAAGTTTCCTCTGTCACCACTCCACCTTTATCTTATACCTTTCTGTGTGATGTTTTTCTAAATTATAATTATGTTATTGTTTGAAATGTATGTAACCCGAGGGAGAGGGCTTGTATAGGCATAGCCTGTTGCCCAATTCCCATTGAATCATTTGATTTGATAAAATATTTTGAAATAAAAAAAAAAACGTTTTTCAAAGGGTTGTAGTCAGTGTTTAGTGCAACTGTGGTCTTCATTACGTGTTCAATAAAAGTGGCTGTTTTGAAATAGAAGGAGACGTAGCGATAAGACCACTTTTTGTGTCGTACATCTTTTAAAAAGGAGTGATTTATGGTTGTTGATCTTTATAATACAGCTGCAAACATAAGTATCGATGATAATAATGATATTTATATACGAATTTGTAATAGAAATTTTACATTGGATAATATATGTAACTGTTGGGGCGTTTTATTCCATGAGTAATGCTATTATTCAAACCATGACATTTTACGTGCCTACGGAATAAATATGCCATTTTAACATTCTCCACTGTGTTGTAACTCATTATGTTTTTTTCTCCCTCTAACAGAAATGCCACTCTCTATAACACGATTGAAGAAAAGAAAGCATTTGAGCAGCTTGAGGAAAAAGCTGAATTGTTTCACAGCAAGCGAAGGCAGGAACTCGCTACCATACGGCTTTTATGTACCTCATAAACATTTACACAGAAAAAATGGAATATATTCAGTTGACTCTTACAATTCCTCTGACGATGGGTACCCTTCTGAACACACAGTTTCAAGACATTCGTCCGTAAAATCTATTCCAGATACGGTATCAAATGTTATACCGGAAATTAAAATCCAAGACACTTCAGAAGCGAAAGATAAAACTGATACTACCGCTGTTATTTCTAGTGATAGCGACTGTGTAGTAGACGCTAATTCACACCTGGAAAAGGTGAGTCCAGGGAGATATAGAAAGTCACACAACCATGTCAAATGGAACCACTATGAGACGGGCGTTACGCACCGGAACTACTAAAGGACGGGCGTTACGCACCGGAACTACTCAGGAACGGGCGTTACGCACCGGAACTACTAAAGGACAGGCGTTACGAGCCGGTCCTTCTAGGAACGGGCGTTACGAGCCGGACCTACTAAGAGACGGGTGTTACGAGCCAGACTTACTAGGAAGCGTCCATTTTAGAGAGAAACTACGTGTGCGTGATCATCTAATAAACAGTGTATCATGCGCATATATAATGCAACTTAAGTCAACTCCACAGCGAAAAATTAAAAGTCTCACATTCCAATAAACATGTCGTTTTTGCATATTATGGTTGCTTATTTTCTTGAGAAAAACATTTGAATAAAGCTATCAATGTGGTCACCATCCAAAATATAGAACACAAATATAAGTGCGAAGACGCCAGACGGTAGGAGGACTAATACATGATATACTGAAGTTGGATGAATTATAGTTTTAACATTATTTAAATGACTGATGAATTATAGTTTTAACATTATTTAAATGACTGATGAATTATAGTTTTAACATTATTTAAATGACTGATGAATTATAGTTTTAACATTATTTAAATGACTGATGAATTATAGTTTTAACGTTATTTAAATGACTAATGAATTATAGTTTTAACGTTATTTAAATGACTGATGAATTATAGTTTTAACGTTATTTAAATGACTGATGAATTATAGTTTTAACATTATTTAAATGACTGATGAATTATAGTTTTAACGTTATATAAGTGACTGTCGCTTTCTCATAAATGAGTTTTTTTAAATCTAATGACACATATATTCAAAACAATTACTAAAAACATTTATTCTCATTTCAATTAGCATAACACCTTCATTCTCACTAATTTGAAATTTGACATGGCATTTAATTTGTCAATCAAGGTGCTTTACGACCATAAATCCAGTATATTTAATGACGTCAATATACCGACTAGCCACTACACTTATGACGTCATTAACAATGAAGTGAATCTGCTTAATTTAAATGTGTTTGGCGTCAGTTGTAATCCGCAGGTGAACCAGAGAAAAACCTACAAAAGTTATTGTGAAATTGAAGGACATGACTTGATTTTTTTGTCCAGATAAGCTCTCCAATGAACTCAATTTCACATGAAAACAAAAATAAGTCGGCCAGAAGAGGGGAAGTGTCTGTTCTCATGCCCAAAGTCTGCTGGAAAATCTTGATAACAAACGCAACAAATATATTTTCAACCAGGAAACTCGATAATTCTCTCGATTTAATCTAAGTATATTTCGTTTTAGTTTTTATCACAAAAAATGCTCCAAAGTACGTAGTTGATAACCATTTATTTATATCGTCGTTCACCTTTCTTAGAAAAGAAAACTCTCAAAGTAGGAGACTAAATATTTTTGAGGAGAGGATACTTAATATTTGTCGAACGATCTATTAAAACTTACAAATTGCATACCTTAACTTCACTTCTAGAGTGTAAATAATAACACAGACACGTAATCATCTAAAGTTTGTTATCTCGAAAAATGGAAAATGTATAGATAGAATATTTTTTGTATGCGGATATACATCAAGAACGTGCTGAAGGAAGAGCTTTTCTATATTGATCAAAATGTAGCTTTTGTTATATTTGCATGTAGTTGGAAAGCTTGAAAGCAATTGTTTAAGAATAGCTGTAGGACATTGTGAGTGTGTCTTTGTATCTGACGTACGGTGGTTTTTACAGACCTTTGATGTAGGCCATTACTCATGTTAATGACATCTGCTGACATGTTGATAAATGACGTGCGTAAAGTTCTGAGCTATCGTGGAGACTATCCATACGATCAGGTTTAAAGTCAAATTTCCACATCTTCAATATTATTATGACGTCTGCAGGCTAATTTCCAAACGTCATCGTAAACAGTATTCTTGCTATGTTCAATAATACAAACAGAGGAAACGAACACAGTTTGGTTTAAACATGGTGGACATCCATAGTTTCTCAAGAGTTTCGAAACTAATTTCCTACGTTACATTCGGCTTGACTGTTGTAATGTCGGTGTCAATGAGCTAACATTGCGCTAGACTATTGTAATGTCGGTTTCAATGTGTTAACATTCGGCTAGACTGTTGTAATGTCGGTTTCAATGTGTTAACATTCGGCTTGACTGTTGTAATGTCGGTGTCAATGAGTTAACATTCGGCTTGACTGTTGTAATGTCGGTGTCAATGAGTTAACATTCGGCTTGACTGTTGTAATGCCGGTGTCAATGAGTAAACATTCGGCTGGACTATTGTTATGTCGGTGCCAATGTGTTAACATTCGGCTTGACTGTTGTAATGTCGGTGTCAATGAGTTAACATTCGGCTTGACTGTTGTAATGTCGGTGTCAATGAGCTGACATTCGGCTAGACTGTTGTAATGTTGATGTCAATGAGTGAACACTCGGCTTGACTGTTGTAATGTCGGTGTCAATGAGCTTACATTCGGCTAGACTGTTGTAATGTCGATGTGAATGAGTAAACATTCGGCTAGACTGTTGTAATGTTGATGTCAATGAGTTAACACAAGGCTAGACTGTTGTAATGTAGGTGTCAATGAGTTAAGAATTCGGCTAGACTGTTGTAATGTTGATATCACTGAGTTAACACTCGGTGAGACTGTTGTAATGTTGATGTCAATGAGTTAACAATCGGTCAGACTGTTGTAATGTTGATGTCAATGAGTTAACAATCGGTCAGACTGTTGTAATGTTGATGTCAATGAGTTAACATCGACAAGACTGTTGTAATGTTGATGTCAAGGAGTTAACATTCGGCTAGACTGTTGTAATGTTGATGGCAATGAGTTAACACTCGGTCAGACTGTTGTAATGCTGATGTCAATGAGTTAACATTCGGCTAGACTGTTGTAAGGTTGATGTCAATGAGTTAACACTCGGTCAGACTGTTGTAATGTCGATGTCAATGAGTTAACATTCGGTCAGACTGTTGTAATGTTGATGTCAATGAGTTAACATCGGCAAGACTGTTGTAATGTTGATGTCAAGGAGTTAACATTCGGCTAGACTGTAGTAATGTCGGTGTCAATAAGTTAACATTCGGCTAGACTGTTGTAATGTCGATGTCAATGAGTTAACATTCAGCTAGACTGTTGTAATGTCGGTGAGAATGAGTAAACATTCGGCTAGACTGTTATAATGTCGATGTCAATAAGTTAACATTAGGCTAGACTGTTGTAATGTCGATGTCAATAAGTTAACATTCGGCTAGACTATTGTTATGTCGGTGTCAATGTGTAAACATTCAGCTAGACTGTTGTAATGTCGGTGTCAATGAGCTAACATTCGGCTAGACTGTTGTAATGTCGGTGCCAATAGGTCAACATTCGGCTAGACTGTTGTTTTGTCGATGTCAATGAGCTAACATTCGGTCAGACTGTTGTAATGTTGATGTCAATGAGTTAACACTCGGCTAGACTATTGTAATGTTGATGTCAATGAGTTAACACTCGGTCAGACTGTTGTTATGTTGATGTCAATGAGTTAACACTCGGCTAGACTATTGTAATGTTGATGTCAATAAGTTAACACTCGGCTAGACTGTTGTAATGTTGATGTCAATGAGTTAACACTCGGTCAGACTGTTGTAATGTTGATGTCAATGAGTTAACACTCGGTCGGACTGTTGTAATGTTGATGTCAATGAGTACGGTCATGCCTTATATTGTCTATGTGTTATCTTTATTTTTCATTTACGTCAATCTTTTCTAAGTAATATTTTTATTTCATAAACAATTATCAAAAATTATTAACAAATAAATCAAAGATGCATAATATTTGATAACAGAATATGAATGGCTTATAAATATATATATGATATAGTGCATTCATTTATCAAAACGCCTCGACAAGTTGACATAAATAAAGATTCGGTATTTACAATTTTCCATTTAAAGATCGATTTTAAAAAAGAAAAAAAGTTAAATTATATGATATTTAATCTCGGTCGAGCGGAATTATCCCATCGTTTCGAAACTGTTCAGGGTGTGTTATGTTTTCATCTATCAGTTGAGCTTGGTATTGACCTTGTGGATAACAGCAATCGAGCTTTACATAGTTATAAGTCACGTGTCGGGCTGCCTTAAACTTAGTAGGCCTTCTATACAGATTATCTACATTTTAGCCAACTTTATTTATTTCTCAGTTTCTAAGATGGTGAGCGGCATATCTTACCGATGTTAACAACTCTAATGTCATTTTGCTGAATTCGGCGAGAGTCACATTAAAACAAAAGTACAATGAAAAGGCGGACAATTTGATGTGTACGTAAACACCAACATAACATCAAATAACAACACAACAAGAAAATGATGCTCGGACTACGTTGTTTGGCGTGAAAAAACCCAAAATCTTTTTACATTGAGGTAAAATATGTAAAAATCGGTTGGATAATACTATAGAAAAAGAATATTCATTTCGTTTCCAAAATTTATTAATCAAAATGATTAGACTACAGATATAGACATTATAAGTGTTCTCTGATTTGTTCTTCTCCTGTTGCCCCATTTGTGCCTGATTGTCACAAAACAGTAACTCAACAATTTCATAAATTGCAACGGCACGACCACGAGAGGATGTTCTCACTGTAGCAGTATTACAGACACGTGGCCATAAAAGCAGGGGGTAAGGTAGTTTAGTTACAAATATAAAATGCAGTGATGCTACGCTTGACGTTATGAAAGATCTACATTTAAACATGTTAATACGTTATTGCGGTTACAATTTCTGACTGGGAACATAATTTGGTTGAAATAAAAGAAATTGAGACTATTTCTAGTCCAAGCATCACCGATGGATCTTTAAATGGCGCCCCAGCGGATGGTGTGGTGTAATTAACTTTGGCACTCTGTATCTATTACCATATTGTCATAATTTATGTAGCAGTTTCTGACTACGGACGTGTTTCATTAAACTAAAGTTAATATGACTATAAAATATGTAGACATGAAGACATAGCCCAGAAATCGCATTCAAAATGTAACATTGATACATCACCGAAGAATAACCATGAACGTCTTTGACTCGGTTTATGGCGAACATAGTTATTTCTATTGCAAAACATGTCATACCACCATCTTACGCTGACCTTCATCTTCATCTGGGTCCTGGCGACCTTCGATATCGGCAGTACCGGGTGTATACGTATCTAGGAATGACGTGAGGATGTCAGTGTACTCTCTAGGGTAATAATAGTAATGGCTCACGTGAGGTGAGTCGTGCCAGCACTTACTCTGTACAGGTATCTTCCTCTGGTCGAACCCGTTTATAAACCCCTCCACTGTCTCTAGGGTAGCGACCGGATCTGCTTTGGAGTATAGAAACAACGAAGGAACGCAGTACTTGTTATATTTGAAAGCTTCAGAGGCTTTGTGAAACTCTAAAACGCTCGTCCTAAACATGTTCATGTATAGATGTAGTGAATTCCTAATTAAAAACCGAAGGGCTGGATTGTTGGTCAGAGCTGTCGAAAATCCTTTTGGAATACCGTCGAAGTCAACTGGACTATCAAGTACCTGCGCTACAATCAGATCACGTGCTATGGTCTTCTCGGAGTTTAATTTTACATGGAATTCGGCGATCAAATACCCTCCCACTGAAAACCCGTGCAGGAGAATTGGCTGTCTACCAACGTTCCGTGATCTGTCATCAATATGGTTGAGAATCTTGCTGGCTATTCCCTGAGCTCTTACTGGTTTTAGAATATCAATAGGAGAACTCTGAAATGACAAATGACACGGGATTCTAACACATCTCATCTGGCAATATCATATAGCGACTATGTATTGTTATCTAGACGTGTTTGACGTGGATCTGTTTGTCACTCCATGTTTCTTCGTGACACAAAAAAAACATTTCCCGAAGATATTCAATCGCTCATTAAATAAGCATTACTGAATCATTTTCGAAACTTTTTATTCAGGTATTCAGACTAAGTTCCATTGCTGTCAGGGAAATTTTGTTGAAGCAAGAGTTAATGTTTTTATAGGGATATTTATATGAAGGATAAACAGCGGAAATGGAGACGGAGCACCCGCACGTGGTTCTTTGAAACACGGCGCCAGTCTGAGCTAGTTCTTCTTTCTTGTAATGGTCATAAGTTTACATTTGTAGGTTCCCATTATTAAGCAATTCTTTCAAATCAGATGCATCTATATCCGTTTAAGCTAATGTGTTATTCCTAATTTGAAACATTTATCATTTTCCAATAAACTCTACTTATCCTTATTGGTGATTATTTCGTATGACCACTAACCTTAGGGAGAGAGCTTGTATAGGCTTGTCTGTTGCCAAATTCCCTTTAAATCTTATAAATTTAATACAATAATTAGAAATAGAACTACTTACCGAGACAGTCAGCACAGTGTAGCCCCTGTTAAGATAGTATTCCTCGTATTTCTGCATATGTTTCCGCTTGGCACCCATCCACCCAAACAACAACATCAAAGGGCGCGCGTGTTGTACGACGCCATCTTTCTTCATAGCGCGCAGTTCGAGGTTATGGTCAATTTTCTGTGTCCAAACCCCAGAAACTCCGACCTGAGTGGCCGTACAAAAGTTACATGTTCTCTGCACCAACACAATTATCCTAGACTCCTGAAAACAAAGTAAAATAGTGAGTTCGTGAATTAAGAAGAACATGAGGCCGTGTCATTGTAGACATCGGAGGAGTGTTAACAGAAGAAAGGTGTCGCACGAGTCTTTGGACACGTACTACTAGTCAGTGGGAAGGCTTCGATCGCAGTTGCACTCCATCAATTCCTCACATAATTGAATAGGGGATTTTTATAACCTAAATATATGTAACGAAAGTTAAGATCGTTTTTATTGAAAAATGTTGTTGGAACCCGAACCCGAACCCAAAATCCTAGTCTCGCTCGTCCTTAATATCCATCTTATCTTTAAGTGGTAAATTGAAGTAAGACACCTTATTTTGGAAACAGTTTAACGCGTTAGCGGGTTGAAAATAGAAGGTCCATGCTGCAGTTTCAGTAGAGAAAGGGCTATGCTGCAGGCTCAGTGGATCAAGGACTAAAGTTTCAGTAGACCAATGGCTATGCTGCAGGCTCAGTGAATCAAGGACTAGATTTTCGGTAGAGCAAAGGCTATGCTGCAGGCTCAGTGGAACAAGGACTAGAGTTGTAGTAGAGCAAGGGGTCATAATACTGTTTCAGTGGAGGAGGGGGTCATAATACTGTTTCAGTGGAAGAAGGGGGTCATGTAACAGTTTCAGTGGAGGGAGGGGTCATGTAACAGTTTCAGTAGAGGGAGGGGTCATGTAACAGTTTCAGTAGAGGGAGGGGTCATGCAACAGTTTCAGTGGAGGGAGGGGTCATGTAACAGTTTCAGTGGAGGGAGGGGTCATGTAACAGTTTCAGTGGAGGGAGGGATCATGTAACAGTTTCAGT